ACTTAGAGTAAAATAATAAATTGGGTGCATTTGGGCATATTTAATGGGTTAACAAAACACATTGGAATGGTATACATAAAAAAAATGTATTTGTCTTTTTACAGCTATCAACAAAGTATGGATGTAAGGCCTCAGAGGTTCGTCAACATATGAGGACAAATATAAACAACATGGGAAAGTGTGGCAAAGTACAGAAAAGCAAACAAGAACAAGAACTTATTTGAGGACTATGTTTTGAGGCCAGTTTTAAACTTAACTTTAAATGTCAATTATGGTTATTACCTATGGTTTAGCCCATTAAGTGCCAGCGCTCTGACGAGTAAAATCGTCTGGCGTTAGACAGAGTAAACTATAGTAAAATAATAAAGTAGGGTGCATCAGGGCGCAATGTGATTCAATGGGTTAACTAAACACATATATAGGAATATAGGCTAGTTAACCCATTCGGAGCCAGCACTTCCCCTTGACATTCAAGTACAATTGTCTGGAGTTAGACAGAGTAAAATAGTCTGGCATTAGACAAAGTAAAATAGTTAGACAGAGCAAAATAATAAAGTAGGACGCATCATATGGCATTGCATTGAGGTAGAATGATTAATTTGGCACAATAGGTGAAAACTATAATTGATTTGTAATGTTTAGTATAACCAATTTCTCATATTAATTTTTATATTTACAATATTAATTAGTATTTATTAATATTTATATCTATTTTTTGCATTAAAAAATTAAGAGTGATGAACAACATTGTCTGTCATTTACTATTATTTCATCTAGATTCTAGAATTTCTGCAGGAATACCAAAAATCTTATAGGAAATTAGAATAAATTATTATATTAAATTCCTATAATAATTTGGGACTAGACTTGAGAATTCTTATAGGAATTCTTCCTATTAAATTCTTATAGGAATTCTTCCTATTAAATTCTTATAGGAATTCTTCCTATTAAATTCTTATAGGAATTCCTGTAGAAAAAATTCCTATAGGAATTCCTATAGGAAATTTTCGTAAGGTACCTGCTTTCGATTGCCACTGCTCTAACGAAGCAATAATATAAGAAGCGGAAATTAAACTAAGTAATTTAATATGTATTTATTTTTCATTTACAAACTTTGCTATGGCGGCAGGTGTAAGAGCCAAAAGACTTGCACCTTTATGGGAAAACGAACGTAAATGATACAAATAATATACTATAGTTGATGACGAAGTAACAACAATAGTTACAGATATTTACGAAGAACACTTTGTTGTCCATCAGCTCAGCAGTTGCCCCTGTTCCTATAACCATACTGTTTTGGGTAATTATTCATACGAATTACATACCTGTATGATTTCCAAAAGATTCATTTGGAATGAAAATGGTCCATTTTTATGGTGAACGAGTTTAGGTTGGCGGTAACAATGTAATGTAATTGGAGGTAGCTTATAAGGCATCAAAACATCCTATGATGTCAAACAGTGTTGATGCCATAGGAAAAAACATCTCCTTGATACGCTTCTTGACCCCTAATCACTCTGCTTTTAGAAAGTACTTAAGACCTGCACGCAATATTGTTGAGGAAGAACATTAGATCCGAAATTAGAATCGTGCAGCTATTTTAAGCTATATTTTGCAAAAAATTCCGCTCAACAATTGTGTTGATGGGAATCACATAGCGGCCATTGCCTTGCATTACCTTTCCTTTCTCTTTTTCAGTACACCCCTTGTTTTAGAACTGTTTGACTGCATGCCGGCCGATTGATTTCTAGATTATTAAAAAAGTCATCAACTTTAGGGTTAGGGTCTAAAAATTGGGTAGTAAGCCTGGTTTCCATATGGTCGTAAAAATAGAGTCACGATCCTTCTCAACGGCCAGTTTATAAGAGTATACCAGCTGTAAACCACAAAAAGTCATAAGTATTTACTAGTAAATAAATTAAATCACTCTTTATATGAAATATTTTCAGTTCTAAAATGTTATATTTAGGCTGATGAGAAAGATTGTGATTCAATCTTTACGACCGTTATGCGACCATATGGAGAGTGGAGACCAGACTTAAACAAACGTTAGCCGCCAAATTTGTCTATTTGTAGTCTTTGAAAAACTCACGAGTGCTTGTTTTCTAAATTGCACAAGAAACCACGCTGTTAATTATTTATTAATAACGTACATTCATTTAACCACAAACCAAACTGACTTGTAATGAATTGTACATTATCACCATGCGAACATTTCAAGAATAGATTCATTTGTGCAGTTATATACCATGTATAATTAATTATACACAACATAAATTCTCGTATTTGTGTTTCCTTTTACGTTTTCTTTTAAAACTTGCTGATTGGTATAAGTATTGTTTTGAATCGGTAACATCTATAGGAAATCCCGAACGGGGTGCGCCAGTGTAGTGCCAAAATTTCCCTCTGCAGCAAAACTCTTTGCCCATCGTATCTTAAGCCTAGTTTCCATTTGGTCGTTAGTTGTCGCTGGCACGACAAGTGGCTGATGTAGTAGAGTGTCAACAAAACTTTATAAAACTTTGCAATCATTAAGACTGATTTGCATATAACACACAAAAAGACTATTATTATATTAGACTATTTCACATCTACCGCTTGTCGTGCCAGCGACAACTAACGATCAAATGGAAACTAGGCCTTAGGGTACAACTATGGGATGAATTATCAAGATTTTGAGCAACTGCTGCTGGTTAGATCCAAAAATAGTATATAATCTTCATCTACAAAAACCTTTCACTGTGGGATGGATTGCCCTCAATTAAAATTTTCAAAACATTTTGTTGCTATGTAAACGTCCCTAGCTTTTTCTAGTGCAGGAGTTTATTTTGGTGACACTAAAGTATAACTTAATTGTATATAGGCTACCTATTGTTTTGTATTTACCCTACCTTGTAAAGCATTTAGACTTCCCATGACGTCGAAGAGCGTTTGTCGCCAGGGGAATTTTATCATCTTGATACGTTTTTTGACCTCTAATTACTTTGCTTTCAGAAACAGGACGAAGGTTAGCACGAATTGGGAAAGTTTAAAAACCTTTCACTGTGGGATGGATTGCCCTCAATTAAAATTTTCAAAACACTTTGTTGCTATGTAAACGTCCCTAGCTTTTTCTAGTGCAGGAGTTTATTTTCGTGACACTATATAAAGTATAACTTAATTGTATATACCTTGTAAAACATTTAGACTTCCCATGACGTCAAAGAGCGTTTGTTGCCAGGGGAATTTTGTCATCTTGATACGCTTTTTGACCTCTAATTACTTTGCTTTCAGAAACAGGACGAAGGTTAGCACGAATTGGGAAAGTATTGCACCAAATTATCTCCGATTTAGCATCAGGGAGTCATTTTGGACACTTGATAATGAGTTGCTAAAACGTCAGTTCAATAACTATGAAATGGATCACGTGGCTATATAGCAATTGCAACATAACATTTTTATAAATGCAAAATACAAATGCTTTTGTTTATATTCCGGACATATGGTATCTTACAACCTTGCCAAGAGATCCCGCATTCTGTGGACCTCTTCGTTTGAAACTGGTTGATTGGTAAGTGTATAAAATGTCCTCACTCAAAAATACTCTGCATTATTGCTTTATATCAAGATTTTATTGGCATCCCGCTATATTTTTTCCAACTGGGGAAAGCAGAAACTTCTATACCAAGCTTGTAAGGAGCATAATGATTTGAACAAAAACATTAAATAAATTAACAATCTAGCTAGTTTTCATACTGCACTTCTTAAATCTCCATAGTATAATCGAACGCATTTTGCAAATAGCTCAGTCTTCTTTGTAACATTTAATCATCTTAGTTATGAAATAGAAATGTACATCGCATATAACCTGCATGCATATTATTATTGTATAATCTTTTGTATTTGTACAGTTTTCTCAGGGACCTTCTGAAAAACACAACTTGTGATGTTGGTTTTCCTGAATAAATACTATTATCAATCAATCAATCATTTTGAATATTAGTTGACGGGTTTTGTAGATGGAAATTATCGATTTATATAGCTATACAGGGTGTATAAAAAAAAGCGCAATCCTCGACTGAAATGTAAATTGCTAAACAAATAATAGACGAAAACGTTAAAGTTTACATTCATTTTAAAGCGTAGCCATTCAGCTTTCTAACAGTGGGTTGCATATTGTTTCTTAAATTTGACTCATTGGTTCGCGGATAATAATACTTTACGTTATTGCGATTGGAGATTAAAAAAATTGAGATGGAATAACAAATCGTTCTCATGAAAATAACTGATTTTTTCATTAAAACAAAAAATGTTGCATTGTCGATTTATATAGCTACATTCGAAATTTTATATACATTTACATTAGACCTAACCAGGAAAAGCTGCGAAAAATGCAATTGTACATCCTCTGGCAGGGACCAAACCTGCGGCCCTGCGATTCCGGCGCACGCTCTGAGTTAATTACTAGAGTCTAGTGTAGTTGTCGAGTTCCAACCAAAAGTCCATCATGTATACTATAGGGTACTGCCATGTTAACGTATGGGTAAATATCACTATTTTGTTGGCATGTCACTCGATTAAATAATAACTGATGTGTGCTTCAGATGGAATTATCGAGGGTAAATTTCATATATGTTTAATAGGCTTAACCAGGAACAGCTGCGAAAATGCAAATATACGTCCTCTGGCAGGAATCAACCTGCTGCCCTGCGATTCCTGTGCAGCGCTCTAACTAACTGGGACCCATGGTACCGGATTCGTATGCGAATCCGGTATCGTGTAACTGGGGCCTAAGCTACAGGGTTCAGTTGTCGAGCTCTACCCACATGTTCATGATGTGTATATTTTCTAGGGTATAGCATGCATGTTAAGGTATGGGTAAATATCATGATTTTGTTGGCGTCTCACTCGACTGAATTAATAGTTGATGGGTTTTGCAGATGGAAATTATCAAGTGTAAATTTTATATACATTTATTATAGATTTAACCAGGAACAGTTGCAAAAAATGCAACTATATACATCCTCTGGCAGGAATCAAACCTGCTGCATGCTCTGCGATTCCGGTGCAGCGCTCTAACCAATTGAGCGACAGAGTCTACAGGACGTCTCGCTCGATATAGTATACTAACAGTTGAAGGGCTATAATTGTAGATGGAAATTTCTACCGGAAGGCTTTAATAATAAAATCTTTATTTATACTGATAAAAGAAACCGTTCAGTCAATTACATAGATTGGTTGGCATCAATCGGTGATTACTGTGTAACAAGTATACAACATAACATGACATGACATGACATGACATGACATGACATGACATGACATGACATAACAGAAGTGCATAAATATTAAGGCTATACATTGCATAATGTAAAATGTCTGTAATTGTGCGTATAACAGCATCCATGTTCATCAAGTATTTAAACATTTCATTCTTGAACCGCACAAAGTGTTTTTAGTTCTCGTAACTCTTTCGGTATAGAGAATTCCAATCTCTGGCACAATCCAGATCTGAACGAGGTCTCGCCACATCTAGTTCTTACTGGCGGTAAATCTAATGTTGGATCTCTAAGAATCGACAGTGCATTTGTGATCGTCTTACCAGATAGCCTATATCAATTGCTTCGGGCAATTTACGTTGTTTATGATCTCATAAACGTATATTGCAACCTGACGTCTTCCGACGACATCTTGTTTCTCTGAAGCGAAGGTCTTTCGTATCGAAGCCAGACAAAGGGCATTCTCTCAAAACGTCGAAGTTCCGGTTATATTTTTCAGGTGGTTGTATAATTGATCTCAATGCATGTCAATGAGCAGCTGTCTTGTTATCGTCGCTGCCTACACGGACACTATTAGATTCATCTTCGCCCAATTTTTATTTATTTTTATTTATTTATTTTTGCCCAATTTTCCAAAGTACAATAAAATTTAACTATTTACATTTTTATAATCTATACGTAGGGCTAGAGATCTTTTAGAAACCCTTTTGGGCTTTTATTTTAAGACCACTAGTTATAACAAAACTTTTATTACTTAGTATAATTTCATGATGTCATAAAAATAGTACATAATATAATAACGAAAATATATACAATTGTGAGAGTGTTTAAAGGAAAGATAGTCTATTTACAAGATTTTTTAGATTTTTTAAACTTTATACATTAAAATAGGATGATTAATTAGCTGATTGGTGTGATATAAAGTATGTTTTCACATTTTTTTTGAAAACCATATATGATCCAATGATGCGATTGGACTCGAAAGAATCCAATAAGTTATAATACCAAGTCAGTATATAACGATAAATTAAACCCCCGACAGGAGTAGTAAAACTTCGACCGCTATTTCTGGCCATGCAAGATTCAATTGTAAGATCTCTGAGTGGAGAAAATCCTCAAATGAGATGCATCGTATACGGCAGTGGTTGCGATATTTTCTCTGCCTAAACAATCATTTCAAATAGAAAATTCTGATTTTCACTATGGAAAATTCGAGTGGAATTTTTATACATTTATTAGACCCAAACAGTAACAGTATCAGGCTATGTTTACATTGTATCGGATCACTTTGCGTCCGACGCAAAAACCGTACCGGATAGGGCTTCTGTTTACATATGAAATGTTGTTATCGTCTCAATTTCTGCAACGGACCGGTGGTGCGGCGGTTCGCTCTTCGAAGTGGTGCGCGATGTATCGGATCGCTTTTTGCAACGCTCTCATTGTAATGTAAACACAAATCGGAGCAATTTTCGGTTCAATACGTGACTCAAGATGGCATCTGGGAAACAAAGACTTGCTATTCTAATCTTATTTGCGGGTATAGCTTGCTCACTTATAATATTTTTGTATTTAGATGGGCGAGGACGGAAGCTGTTTACACTTGGGCCGTAACGTTTCGTGAACGAAGCAAAAACCGATCCGATACAATGTAAACATAGCCTCAGTCTCTGGCAGGAATCGAGCCTGCGACCGATCGAGTTCGACAACTGGACTCTACTGTATATAGTTAATTGCTTAGAGCGCTGCACCGGAATCCCAGGTTCGATTCCTGCCGAGGTATATATAGTTGCATTTTTTGAAGCTGCTGCTGGGTTGGTCTAATAAATGATTGTATAAAAATGCGGCTCAAATCTCTCTCTTCAATAGTTACTTATGTCGCGTGAGATACCCATAGAAATGTAAATACCCCAAATTACTCGAACTATTTATATTCATTTACGTATTAATTTTTTATTTACAAACTTTGCCTCCTTTGTGAGCAATCCAACGCAAATGATACAAATAATATAGTTGATGACGAAGTAACAACATTAGTTACAGATATCTACGGAGATTTACTCAACATTTTGTTGTCCTTCAGCTCAGGCCTTGCCCCTGTTGCTATCGATACTGTCTTCGGTAATTATTCATACTAATTACCTTATGATTCCGATAGATTTATTTGGAATGAAAATGGTCCATTTTTATGGCGAACGAGTTTAGATTGGTGGCAATGTAATGTAGGTCTAATTGTATGTAACTTATAAAGCATTAAAACTTCCTATGACGTCAAACAGTGTTGATGCCGTGGGAAAATCATCTCCTTGACACGCCTCTTGATTCCTAATGACCCTGCTTTTAGAAACGTACTTATAATAACACCTGCACGCAACACTGTTGAGGAAGAAAATTAGATCCGAAATTAGAATCGTGCAGCTATTTTAAACTATTTTGCAAAAACTTCCGTTTAACAATTATGTTAATGCGAATCACATATAGCTGCCATTGCCTTGCATTACCTTGCCTTTCTATTTTTCAATACACTTCTTGTTTTAGAACTGTTTAACTGACGGTAAGTATTAACTTGTATAGGCAATAGCATGGCTACTCGTGCAATTTGAAAAAAAAAATCACTATAGTGAGTTTTTAAATTAAAAGACGGTCAAAATCGTACGCGTCCGAAGGACAAAGGCAATAGAACTAGAATTTTGTCTGGAACACCAACATGGTGTGCGGCAATGTATACGTAATACCACATTTTCCTTCTGCAGAAAACCCTTTGGTTTTTCTACAAACCATGCCATATCGTGCTTTACACACGTAAAAACGCACAAGTTGTAACAAAACCTGCAGCAGACTTGTATAGCAATTCTGTTCCAACAACTTGTCAACAAGATGTATTCGCACTGCTTGTTCCCAGCTTGATGACAAGTTGTCAACGGCTTGTTGGCAATTTTACAAGTTGTTCCAACAACTTGTTGTCGCCCTACAATTCAACAATTTGTCAACCAGTTGTGAGTGACAACCTTGTAGCAACTTGATAAAATAAAAGCATTGTTACAACTTGTTGACAAGCTTGCTACAAGCCTGTTGCGAACACATCTTGTTGACAAGTTGTGAGATTTTTACGTATGTAGACTACAACTATGAGATAAATTATCAAGATTTTGGGCAACTGGTCCTGGTTAGGTCCAAAAATAGTATATAATCTTCCTCTACAAAAACCTTTCACTGTCGGATGAATTGCCCTCAATTAAAATTTGCAAGACATGTTGTTGCTATGAAAACGTCCACTTTTTCTAGTGCACGCGAGTTTATTTTGGTGACACTAAAGTAATTTAATTGTTATATACCTTGTAAAGTGTTTAGTCTTCCCATGACGTCAAAGAGCGTTTGTTTGGCAGGGGGAATATCGTCATCTTGATACGCTTTTCGACCTCTAATTACTTTGCTTTCAGAAACAGAACGAAGGTTAACACGAACTGGGAGAATATTGCACCAAATGATTTAGCATCAAGGAAGAGTCATTACACTTCCGTTGTAGAATCGTGCATAGAGTCATTTTGGACACTTATGAGTTGCTAAAAATCTTCCGTTCAATATTATGAAATGGATCACGTGACCATAGCAATTGCAACATAACATTTTTGTAATTCAAAATACAAATGTTTTTGTATATATTCCGGACATATAGTGTCTTACAATCTTGCCTCATGAGATCCCGCATTCTGTGGACCTCTTCGTTTGAAACTGGTTGATTGGTAAGTGTATATAATGTCCTCAAAAATACTCTGCATTATCGCTTTATATCAAGATTTTGTTGGCATCCCAATTGATTGAATAATAGTATTGATGGGTTTTGCATGTAGATGAAAATTATAGAGTGGTAATTTTATATACATTTATATTAGACCTAACCAGGAGCAACTATGAAAAATTCAATAATACGTCCTCTGGCAGGAACCAAACCTGTGGTCCTGCGATTCCGGTGCAGCGCTCTGACTGAGTTACTAGACACGTAGTTGTCGAGCTCCAACCACAGCTGGCCCATGATGCATACTAGCTAGGGTACTGCCATGTTAAGGTATGGGTAAATACCACGATTTTGTTGGCATCTCACTCGATTAAATAATAATTGATGTGTGTTTTAGATGGAAATTATCGAGTGTAAATTTCATATATGTTTATTAGACCTAACCAAGAACAGCTGCAAAAATGCAAATATACGTCCTTTGGCAGGAATCAACCTGCTGCCCTGCGATTCCTGTGCACCCCCTCTAACCAACTGTCCTGTTGTCGAGTTTTAACCACAAGTTCATGCATGATGTATATGTATATACATATATATATATATATATATATATATATATATATATATATATATATATATATATATATATATATATATATATATATATATATATATTATATATATATATATATATATATATTAAATAAGTGCAACGACTCAACAAATTCCACTAGGCATCTTTATTACTATTAGTTTCGTACCACAAGATGTGGCACTCATCAGATAAATTAGCCTTATGACTACAGCAAAAAACCTACAGTATTTATGTACAAGTGGATGAAAGCTTTAAATTAATCCTATTTACAAAGCACGCAAAGCAATTATTTTGTTACTTGATAAAATTGACAGGACGCGGAAGTATTAACAACACATCAGCATAACGCCAAGCTATTAAGATTGCGCGGTATATTTAAAGCAAAAATATGCCTGTCTCGAGTGCATGCCCTTTAAATGTTAGCTAAAAGAAATGTTTTGGCATGTCTGCATGAAGACACTAATTCGTTACGTTTGTTCAAAGTAGCCAGTTGAGATTTACATATAATAAAGTATTTTCCCACAGGCAGAGATTACATCTATTAGAAGCAGGGCTGTAGGGTTTGGCCCGTTACAACCACAATCCTCATTTACTTTGTACGAGAAAAGGAACTCCACTGAACTTAGTAAATATGTCTGGCAGTTAAAGCGCAAAGGAATTGAATTTCATATTAAATGGCAAACCTTGAAACGGGCCAAACCCTACAGCCCTGCTTCTAATAGATGTAATCTCTGCCTTTGGGAAAAATACTTTATTATATGTAAACCTGAACTGGCTACTTTGAACAAACGTAACGAATTAGTGTCTTCATGCAGACATGCGAAAAAATTTCTTTTAGCTAACATTTAAAGGGCATGCACTCGAGACAGGCATATTTTTGTTTTAAATATACCGCGCAATCTTAATAGCTTGGCGTTATGCTGATGTGTTGTTAATACTTCCGCGTTCTGTCAATTTTATCAAGTAACAAAATAATTGCTTTGCGTGCTTTGTAAATAGGATTAATTTAAAGCTTTCATCCACTTGTACATAAATACTGTAGGTTTTTTGCTGTAGTCATAAGGCTAATTTATGTGATGAGTGCCACACTAATAGTAATAAAGATGCCTAGTGGAATTTGTTGAGTCGTTGCACTTATTTAATTATGCTCTGGATATCCATTGAGCACTCTGCCAAATGTTTTTGTAAACCACGAAATCTAATTATATATATATATATATATATATATATATATATATATATATATATATATATATATATATATATATATATATATATATATATATATATATATCTATTTAAGTATAGAGACTATGCAACTTCGACCATCAATTTATTAAAAAAAAAATAAAACATACCATATTATTGTGATGTACGGGTTAGAGACGGGGGACTGGGGAGAGATTCAAGATGGCGTGACTGAGTGAAAGCTTAAATTGTTGCCCCCGCAGGGTTTTGGTCCCAGAGGGCCAAAACCCGAGGAGGCATTTATTGAAGTCCCCGGACGTAATAGTGTAATATGATATCAGTGTATACATACGGTGTATACCAGAGGCAGAGAAATTTAAGTTTTTAGGTTTTCGCCCGCAAAGCATTGGTGGGTAATATCAATGCTTTGCGGGTAATATCGCAAAACATTGGGGGTATTGAGGTCCCCGCACGTAATATGATATAAGTTGATGCAAATATAAATCAAGCATGAATTGTTAAAGCTATCAAGATTAGAAGCAATTAGTTTATATATTACAGTAAAAGGCCACAAGTTTAAAAGGTGAGGGTTCAAATTTTATTATAAAAGGCAAGTGAATTATTGGCGTAGTGCCGTAGCTGCGCAAGTTTAAAAGGTGAGGGTTCAAAGGTTGCGTTGCTTTCTGTAAGAATTATTATTCGCTTGGGTGAACACCTTGTCAAACGGCATTTTATTTCTGTGGTCTGTTTTACGTGTCTATTAATTAATAGACTTGTGAGGTACGTTGTTACTATCATTTGTTGGTGAAGGAGTCGATCCGTCAAATAACGAAAA